ATTAATGACTTTACCAATTTAAAATAAAATGCTCCGCAGGGCGCAGCTTGATACGACCGCAGAGGTCGAACCCTGAACAGTTGGGGCAAGTATGGACACAACATTCAAGCTTGATAGAGCTTTGCATTTGGATTGTGATTAAATATTTGACACAGCATAGGTTTCTGACACAGAATGAATGTGGTCTAAGAACTTAAAAATTTTAAATTGGACATTCACCTATTATGGTCCAATATCCAAAATCTAAATACATGGTTAGATTCAGCATATCAAAGAACCCCAAGAATTCAATTTTTGATGAAATCAAACAAAGTTTAATTTTGGACCCTTTTGACCTCAATGTGGACAAAGTTGATAACGGGGCCCAAAAATCAAAAATCTAAATACATGGTTAGATTCAGCATATCAAAGAACTCCATATATTCAATTTTTGTTGAAATCAAACAAAGTTTAATTTTGGACCTCGATTTGGACCAACTTGAAAACTGGGCCCACAATCAAAAATCTAAATACATGTTTAGATTCAGCATATCAAAGAACCCTAAGAATTCAATTTTTGTTAAAATCAAACTAAGTTTAATTTTGGACCCTTTGGACCTTAATGTAGACCAATTTGAAAACGGAACCAAAAATTAAGAATCTAAATACACGGTTAGATTCGGCATATCAAAGAACCCCAATTATTCAATTTTTGATGAAATCAAACAAAGTTTAATTTTGGACCCTTTGGACCTCAATGTGGACCAATTTAAAAACGGGGCCCAAAATCCAAAAACTAAATACACAGTTAGATTCAGTATATTAAAGAAACCCAAGAATTCAAGAATAAAACCCCATTGAAATTGGTCAAGAAATAAGCAATTTATACAAAGTATCTTCTTTTGTACAATACTGTGCAATTAAATATTTCTTGCTATTGCGCAATACTGTACAATTGACAATTTCTTGCTATTGCGAAATATTGTGCTATTGGATATTTCTTGCTATTGCGCAATACTGTGCAATTCAAGATTTCTTGCTATTGCGCAATACTGTGCAATTGAAGATTTCTTGCTATTGTGCAATACTGTGCAATTGAAAATTTCTTGCTATTGCACAATACTTATTATATAATAATTCACACATCCTGTTTGGTGTGTATCTCCTACCATATCATCATTATTTGCTTTTAAATATAAATCAGAAATAACCAACTTAAAATGGAAAATTTTAAAAGAAAAAAAAAAGGAAAAAAAAAAAAAAAATCCCCCCCCCCCCCAAAGTTTTTGAAACCCCTTATGATTCATCACCCACAAACTCAATCCCAGCCTTCCCTTTGTGGTATGGTACCTTGCAGTACAATTTCAGAGAGATCCATACACTTGAACACAAGTAATTGTCTGGAAACTACAAAAATGCTATTTTTGGCCCCTTATTCCTAAACGTTTTGGGCAATTACCCCCAAACTCAATTCCAGCTTTCCCTTTGTGATATGGAACCTTGTAGTACAATTTCAGAAAGATCCATACACTTACACACAAGTTATTGTCATGAAACTAGAAAAATGCTTGTTTTTTGCCCCTTTTTTTGCCCCTAATTCCTAAAATTTCGAGGCTATAACCCCCAGAATCAATCCCAGCAATCCTTTTGTGATATGAAACCTTGTGGTACAATGTCAGAGAGATCCATACACTAACACACAAGTTATATTTGGAAGTTACAAAAATGCTTATTTTTGGCCCCTTTTTGGCCCCTAATTCCTTAACTGTTGGTACCATAACCCCCAAAATCAATCCCAACCTTCCTTTTGTGGTATTGGACCTTGTGGTAAAATTTCATAGAGATCCATTCACTTAAACTAAAGTTAGAGTGCGAAAACCAATGTGTCTTCGGACGACGCCAGACGACGCCAGACGACGACGCCAACGTCATTCCAATATACGACCACAAAAATTTTTTTGCGGTCATATAAAAATATAAAATATTCTCCGAGTGGATATATAGATAAACCTCGGCACTATCTTACTTCATGTACTTGGTGCTGGAAAAATGGTTGGCACTGCTGTAAATGATGTTTTTTTTTTTTAGAAAGTTGACAATTTAGACTGGAGGCTCTAGGTCAAATTTCATTAGGTTTCATAGACTTCATGTATGAGCGAAAAGTATACAACAGAATCTACCATACATTATGTTTGGGTGGCCCCATGCAGTAGGATTCTTCCACCTATCAATTCACCCGTATGGATACATTCGAATTTTATAGATTATTATTCAATCAATAATTTCAATATTTTGTTTGATTTTTTTTGTTTTTTTTTAGAGGGGGGAGAGGTCACATTCTTTTACAGTTCTACTCTTTAGCGTATCATTTATCAGATCTGTTGGGTTTTATTTTTTAGATTAAGTCCATATTATTTTCCTTTATTTCAGGGCGGTATTAAATTAAAATTATCTGATAACTCTGACACGGATGGGGTAATATAAGCTTTAATTTTAGTAGATCATTTCCAAGAGCATTTGAATTTTGTTAGAGGAGATAACACAGATTAAGGCATGAGACTTTGTATTTCCTATCAGTGACATATTTTTTTTTTATCATGTAAAAGGAATTTATATGAGAGAAAAAAAACTAATCACATGAGGATTATTATAAAAAGTCCTTTAATCTACAAAAAATAACAGTTACAAAGCTTATTATGTAAACACTGTATGAATAAACGAGAATGTGGGTTATGCATAACTGGGTCGAAAAAAAAATCAAAAGACATCCTATAGTGAGGGTAACACATCAAACAGAATTCATCAAAGAATTGTCATTAAAATTGAATTCTTAAAAATAACGAAATACATTTAGCATGTTTAGTTATGACAATTACCGACGAGGTTCCTGACTTGGAACAGATACACGGAAATATGATTGCCACAATATTATGTTGTATATATTAAGAAACAACATAGATAGATATATTCTTAAATATGGTTCATCAAAACAATTCTGACAGATTTTGGTTTTTTGATCCAAAAATTTGCATAAAATCCTAACAAAACATGTAGAATATGCAAAACTGTATTCAAGTGTACTGTATATATAACGATGAGTAATTCTTTTGCTTTATGAATTTATGGAAAACGTTCTTTGTATATCATTTTGCCTCTTCAGTTAAATTTCATTAATATTTATTAACTTGCAAATGAAAAAAAAAATCCTGGGGATTTGTCCCTAGCTTTTTTCCATAGAATTGCAGTTTCAATTCACATAATTCTGTTATGTTGATGCATCATTATTGTCTTTCAATTTAACATAAAACGATTTAAACTTTGTACTATATTTATTATTAGAAGTCAACACCAAAAATCTTCAATTCTGCACAAATATATGTCTTCCTATCATTTTTTTTTTTACTTTACGTTATGTTTCTATACTGTTTCAAGTCAAGACCAAACTACTTCAAATTTACATCGTGTAGTTTCAAATCAACACATTGTACGTACATATGATAAGCCTCTTGTTATAACATCGTGCTATCTTAGCTGAACAACACGTACTTTCAACTGTACGTTGTGTAGTTTTAAATGAGCATATTGTATGGCAAGCCTATCGTGATATCATTATGATATAAGATAGTGCTATCATAGCTCAACATCACATACTTTCAACTGTACGTCGTGTAGTTTTAAATGAGCATATCGTGTGGTAAGCCTATTGTGACATTATAATGATATAATAACGTGCTATCTTAGCTTAACATCACATACTTTCAACTGTACATTGTGTAGTTTTAAATGAACAAATTAAATTGTATGATAAGCCTCTTGTTATAACATCGTGCTATCTTAGCTGAACAACACATACTTTTAACTGTACGTCGTGTAGTTTTATATGAGCATATTGTATGGCAAGCCTATCGTGATATTATTATGATATAAGATAGTGCTATCATAGCTCAACATCACATACTTTCAACTGTACGTCATGTAGTTTTAAATGAGCATATCATGTGGTAAGCCTATCATGACATTCTAATGATATAACGACGTGCTATCTTAGCTTAACATCACATACTTTCAACTGTACGTTGTGTAGTTTAAAATAAGCAAATTGTATAATAAGCCTATTGTGACATTATAATGATATAACATCGTGCTATCGTAGCTTAACATTACAATATTTCAACTGTACGTCGTGTAGTTTCAAGTGAGCATCTTAGCTTAACACGTTGCATCTTGTTGTTTTAAGTCAACAAATTGTATGGTAAGCCTTTCGTTTCAAAATAGTGGTGTAGCATCGTGTTATCTTAACTTCACATCATGTACTTTCAACTGTGCATCATGGTGTTTTAAATCAACAGATTGCATGATAGACCTATCGTAATATCACAATGATATAACATCGTACTATCTCAGCTCAACATTTATTAATAACAAGTCAGCACCATACATTTTAGCTATTCATTTTATTTGTTATCATAGCAATCAAAGTGGATGACTGAGCAGTATCCATCTGCAAACTAACATCATGCAACGTCAACTTCACATCATGTACTTTAAACCCAACGTTACGTGTGTTTGGCATTTCATCACAACATCGTGACTTATCATTATACTATCATGACTAAAGCACTTATCATTGCAAGTCAACATTGCGCAGATTCAACTTAGCATATTGTCATTTAGATTTAGCATTTTGATGACTCAATTCACCATCTCGCTGTCTTAACTTTACATTTTAAGCTTCAGCATAACGTTTTGTAAATCTCTAATATGACAGCTGAGGCTTTCCATAGTTATGATTCTAAAGTGAGCGAGCGCTGCTTCCCCTAAAAATTACAATGTATAAATACAGAAATAATAGCAATAGATGTGACGCCAAAAAATAACAAATGTTGGATTAGTTAAAACCTAGTGCAAAAAATGTATACATACAAAATGTAAATAGCACTGTCCAAAATAATTTTTGATGGATCAGGATGTGATGAAATTGACAATGTCAATCTGTCATATCAGGCAACAAAATACGTTACCTCTAATTTCAGCTGATGTATTCTACACTGATTAAAAGAAACACAAAAAGCTAAAAGAACAGTTAGCTTAAAAACTGTCATCGTCATGTTTGTCTATTCATCATACTACTTTAAGCTTCTGTAATTCCAATCTGTAACAGTCTTTTCCATTGGTCGATATAAATTAGTGAGTTTAAATAAAAACCCCAAAAAACTATTCAAATAAGAGAGACAACAGCGTACTATCATATCTTGTAAAAAGAGATAACAGCATGCAGGCTGATGAATCCGGGTCCGTTCGCCCAAAATCACGTTCGCTCCCATTCACATTCTCCCCTATCACGCTCGAACCCCACACGTTTGTAGCCAGGGTATGTTCGCACTCTTTTTAAAGGTTATGTTTTGAATATTTTTTTAATCATGCTTTATTCAGTCTTCAGTGTATTGCTAAAAAATAAAGATTATATTTTGTTTTAGTTTTTTTTTTTCTTAATAAAGTGACATTCTAAATACGTAAGCCGGTTTTGGTTTTGTGAATTATTTTGACCAAATGAATAATGAATATTGTCATGATGATGATCAAAGGCCTAGCTATACCTGGGAACAGTATATCTAACATATATTCTTAGTTTGCTTATATATATCTAATTTCTTAGTTTGCTTATATATATCTAATCAATATATATGTTCCTGGCTATACTAAGTCATTTGTCTCTAAGACATGCCGTTAAAAGTTTACTGAAATAACTGAACAGCAGTTTGATAAAATATAATATATACAATCAGAGACATATAATATGTCTCTGATACAATTATAAAATAATTTCTCTAATTCTTCGTCAATTTATCCCTTTCTGCACCCATTGTATAAAAAAAATTTAATCAACGTGTGGTTCGTTTGATCTCAGTTCTTCATTGGTTAAAAAACCGATTATGACGTCGAATTTTCTTGCTTTCCTCTGAATTTCCTATTGTGACGGCATGAAAAAAGGCGACCATGCCTGATTACGTCACATAAAAAGAACACATCTTTCTGCAGATCATTCAAAAAGAAGGAATAAGTTTGCCTGCATATTGTTTGAAAATCATTAGAGAAACAGATTCCACCACCAAATCTCGTGTAATACGATATTTATCCACTCTCGACAGTTAAATTTTAAATATTTAAAACGCTCGGCGAGCCTCGCGTTTTAAATTTGAAAATTTAACTGTCTCGAGTGGATAAATATCGTATCACACTCGACGCAGTGGTAGAATCTATATATAATACAATTATATGTCTCTGATAATGAATGAAATGAAAAAAAAATAATTGACAAAGCTAGGTTTAGTAATTGAACGAGGCTCCGTACTTAAACGTCCCAAATGAATAGAACCCTGCGATTTAAACTGGTATTATTCAAGAATTTTAGAGTAGAGTAGAGACTGCGTAGTAATATGTATTATTTCATATCGGTTAAGAATTAGCTTCTCTTATTGGATAACAAGGGGCCACTGTTTATATAGTGATATCCCTTTAATAAACCACAATCGCGATTCAGACGTTTGGAACATGTGAGTTCGTGGTCTAGTGGTCACATGTTAAGACCGATGGCTACAGTGCTGAATGTCCCGAGTTCGATTCTCAGTCGGGGTGCAAAAAATATCAGTACACCACGGAAGGGTGATTTTCACCCTCTCATACACATCTCTGGTACCCAGACCGGAGTTTAAACTAGAATGGGTACTATGGGGGCCTCGGTTGGTCAAAGATGCTCCCAACTTTGACCTGGAGATCAATATGCTAATCATGATCTCTTCGGTTTGTCTGTTCCCGCCGAGCAGCCCGGTGGTTCTCTCCGAGTACTTCGGCTTCCTCCACCATTATAACAGTTATGCCCGGTGTCCTAACACTCCCTTGTGTTGGGTGGGGATTGTCCTTGTAAATATTGAACATTGTGAATACGTTAGTGACACATCTCCATTAATCCCGATAGGGAGTGTACACGGATTCCACTGTACCCTCGCAGCTCTCGAGGGGTGATCCGTAAGCGGAGGGATCTACGTACATACATACACATGGCTGAACTGGAAGGTACGTCTGCTACAGACAACTCAAATGCCATGATTGTTTTGCCGTACTTTCCGATGCTGATAGAGACAAACTACTGAGCAACAAGAATTATAAAATTAAAGAAAACTTTATTTTGTATTCATATACTGATGAATTGCACTTAAATGAATGGCAGTGACTTAATTAGTTATCACTATGACTGGTCGTCACTCTTTCCTATAGAAATCGTACAATAACGAGTTGAATTCAGTTGCTTTAAACAATTTGAATTTATGAGAATTTTTAAATACATGGTTCCTCAATGAAATAAACATAATAGTTATTGAAGAACTTGTCATTATCGTGATACATGGACTGTCCTGTAGTCCATGTATCACGATAATGACCAGTTCTTCAATAACTATTATATAAATATAACCTAAATGAAAAGCACTGCGCGAATTAGAACTACACCTTTTCATTGATCCCATTTGGTGCCAAAGTTTTTAATTTTCTTATCCAAAATCTAAATACGCAGCCTCTGTTGTAATTACTTTACCGTTGTCAAATTTGAAATATTATACCAGCTAAGATCGGTCAGTGCTGTTCATTGGGAATGTATTTCCCCGCAGTCTTTGTTGTAACATCTTAACTGTCGTCACCGTGAGAAAGGAAGAAAAGACCATTCACAATTTGTCTTACATTTGTTTTTCTCTCTTTCAATTAAATAAAAAAAATATATAAACCTTTCAGATGTAGAGTTCATAAGAAGGAAATATTCCCTGTGGATCACCCCCACCCCACCCCCCCCCCTTTTTTGTGCTCTCTGCTGCCTTCAGAATTTTATAAATTTTACATTTTACATTTCCAAGTTACGGGGTTTTATATATTAAAAAGGGGGGATTTTCAAGTTTTGGACAATGTTTTCAGCAATTCTCATTAAACTTTGGTGAATTGTTTATATCTATTGATGTAAGCTCCCTTTTTGATTTTCATAAATTTTCTTATATGACATTTTGAAGTAATTGAACTTTATTCTTTGTAAATGTGACGCGCATATCATGCGCTCATGGCGCAGCTGTTTATTGAAGGTGGTATGCATATGGTTGCCTATAATTTCTTATTTACATCTATTTTATTTGAATTTAAGGGAATAGTTGTTATTTATATAAACAAATCCCACGTCGATATATAACATGTACAACAATCAAACATCAACCCACGCCAAACTGGATGTAATTGAAAGACATCTAGAGGTCAATATAAAGTCTCGAACAAAAGACAAAATAAGGAAAAATATAGCGAAATTTTTAGAAGAATTATTATTACATGTATTTTCAATATTTAAAATATATCGTTTAAATTTTTTTGAGTTTTAGGTTCCACCTACCATTTTAGAAAACTGGGATTTCATTGCGGCTAGTCTATTAGAGGGATATTTCATTGGTTGTAGACATGGAATCTTATTTTATCATAAAGTCAGATTTGAACACGACTTGAGGAATGAAGGTGGAGTAAAAGACCAAATGTCACTTTTAGTCTTATATATGTACGTCAATTTTAGTCTTATATGTGTATACATATATTATTGATTCAGTGGTGATGGTAAATAGACACTGACAAGTCTTAGATAACATTTTATAGTTTTGAATGTTTCTTCATCAGTTAACTAAAATTAGGTGGAGGTATGTTCTTATTTCCGACAGAGGGGCACTCAACCTATATCAATTTGTGCATGAAGCGATTGATAGTTGCTAGATACTGAATGATTTTACCACAAATTTGTGAAAGTTTTAACCGGTGTATATATACTTAAAATAAGATAATAAAATTCATGTCTTTTTCAGGACTTCTGATCCAACCATGTAGTATGGCATGTTTGTGAGATATGGTTTTGGCCCGCGATAGGATGTTCATGAAGGACCTGTAGTACAAAGTATATCACTGGATTTAGCTCTTTGTCTAAGTGTATTATTAAAGTGCTTTGCTTTGAACTCAGTTCATTGTTATGCAATTCATTCTTTGTGAAATAAAGATTTGACAGACAACTCTCATGTAAAAGGAATTGTCAAAGTAGTATCCATTCTATGTACAATGTAAGTAATAGGGAGATAAAAGCACTGATTTTATTTAGATTTGAACCAAACATTTTTTGTCCATTAGCCAAATTTAAAAAAAAGCACAAATTTACCAAACAATGCTACTCGCGCTACTAGCAATATGATGCTAGATTGTTTTGTTACACTTTATTTTTATAAAATATAAAATTTATAAATTGGTATGACGTTGGCGTCGTCGTCGTCGTCGTCGTCGTCGTCCGGCGTCGTCGTCGTCCGAAGACACATTGGTTTTCGCACTCTAACTTTAGTTTAAGTGAATGGATCTCTATGAAATTTTACCATAAGGTTCAATACCACAAAAGGAAGGTGGGGATTGATTTTGGGGGTTATGGTACCAACAGTTAAGGAATTAGGGGCCAAAAAGGGGCCAAAAATAAGCATTTTTGTAACTTCCAGACATAACTTGTGTGTTAGTGTATGGATCCCTCTGACATTGTACCACAAGGTTCCATATCACAAAGGGAATGCTGGGATTGATTTTGGGGGTAATTGCCTCCAAATCTTTGGAATTAGGGGCAAAAAAGGGGCAAAAAAACAAGCATTTTTCTAGTTTCATGACAATAACTTGTGTGTAAGTGTATGGATCTTTATGAAATGGTACTATAAGGTTCCATATCACAAAGGGAAATCTGGAATTGAGTTTAAGGGTAAATGCCCAAAACGTTTAGGAATAAGGGGCCAAAAAGGGGCCAAAAATAAGCATTTTTCTAGTTTCCAGACAATAACTTGTGTTCAAGTGTATGGATCTCTCTGAAATTGTACTGCAAGGTACCATACCACAAAGGAAAGGCTAGGATTGATTTTGGGGGTAATTGCCTCAAAATTTTAGGAATTAGGGGCCATAAAGGGGCAAAAAAAACAAGCATTTTTCTAGTTTCAGGACAATAACTTGTGTTCAAATGTATGGATCTCTCTGAAATTGTACTGCAAGGTACCATACCACAAAGGGAAGGCTGGGATTGAGTTTGGGGGTGATGAATCATAAGGGGGTTCAAAAAA